AGGGGCAGAGGGAGAGGGAGAAGCAGGCTTCCTGCTGAGCAGGGAGCCCGATGTGAGGCTCGATCCCAGGACCCTGGGATCATGACCTGAGCCAAAGGCAGACGCTTAATGACTGAGTCACCCAGGCGCCCCCCGCTTTTTCATTTTTATTCTGAGTTTTAAATTTTCTGAACTGTGGTATCTTTCATATCCACAATTGTTTCAAAATTTAGAGTTCATGTTGGAGGGTTGTTACAGTTTACTCTCTTTTGTTCTCTTTATTTTGGAGTATTTCATCAGCTTGAAAAGTTATGATTCTTTGTTTTCTTCCTGTATTTGTATACACAGTGAATTCCTTGTTCTATTTATGTTGACACGCTTGCAATAACAGGCAACTCTATGAGGGAAGAGGTAAAATGGGAAATGGATTGATTGAGTGGCTTTCGCTGTTTCTTGGTCCAAGAGAATCTTTTTCTGTTGGTCAATGTTGTAAAATTTCTTTAATGAGTAATGTCTAGGTAGTAGGGGTGGAAAAGTTGTCCATTTTCTTCTGAATCTTTGACTTGCTATTGATAGGCTGTTATCTTCAGCTTTCTGCTTTCTTTCTCCCCTTCATCCACCAAGCCTGCCAGGGACACCACTTCCTTTCAAGATGACTTCATCTCTCTCAGAAGTGATGCTGCTGGTCCCACTCATTTTCTAAACCTCTTCCTTTGACGTCCCCCTCTCCACTGCCTTGATTGACCAGGTCCCAGACCTGGTTTGCAGCATTTTTCCACTCTGGATGGAAACCACAAGCAGTCTGGTTTAACTGAAGTTCCAGTTTAGGCAACGGCTTGCAGCAGAGGTAAAATTTGAGGGATTCTGCAGGAAGCAGATCACACAGGACTTTATTTGTAGGCTTTTGTGATATGTTGAGCAAGGAATAAAAGGATCCAAAGTAAAACGGGAGGGAAGGAGAGAAAGGAACTGCTTTAGGAGTTAACAAAGGAATAACCAAACTCACTTGGTGACTGATCTGACATGGGAAAGGGAGAGGACATCTGCATTTGAGGTTTGGGTTCTTCAATGAATGGATGGATGAACGGTGGTGCCAGTTCACTGAAACAGGAACACGAGAGGAGGTTTGGGGAAGGGCAAGGGAAGATAAGTGGAGTCTGAAGTACCCCTCTGAGAATTCCAATAGACTCCAAGGAAAGTTCTGGATGAAAGCATAGGTCTGGGTGTTCCTGGCATAGAAGCAGTGGTTGAAACCCAAGAAGAGACGAAATTATCCAACAAGAGAGGATAGAATGGGAGAGAAAGAGAGATGAGGATAAAAATTTGGGGACCAGCAATAATTAAGGACTACACAGAGCATTACTATCAGTAAAGAAGAAGGAATGAAAGCTCAGGAAAGCAGGAGAAAAGTTGGGAAGAATGACTATCAAAAAAGAAGACAAGGACAGAAATAATTACTGTAATGGATTAAAATACATAAAATATATTAAATGTATGATATTGACACTAGAAATAAAAACCTACTTGCTGTTAGAGGATGCTTGGGAATCAACCCATTATTTTGAAAACTGGTAAACAGAGGAAAGTATTTATCCAGCCTCTCCTAGCTCTTTTGGGTAATTGGGCAGGGAATGTCTCTCACACAGAAGAATCCCGGGTAATAAATGAAGAGGAATAACAAAACGGTATCCCTAGTGAACTAATGGAGCTAGGATTGAACATCCCCCAAATGAGATAAAACCAGACATATGGGCCTCCCAATGGAAGAACACAACACCATTTTATGAAATTGTCTGACATAAAAAGGGAAATAATCCCACGTGCATCAGATCAAGCCTCTAGGTCAGTGGTTATGAACCAGGGGCAATTTTGCCTTCCCATCCCCACCAGGAGATAATGTGGCAATGCCTGGAGACATTTTGGATTCTCATGACTTGGGGAGGGCGTGCTACTGGTATCTGGTGGGTCGAGGCCAGTGACCCTGCTGCCCCCCCCACAACCAAAACTTACCCAGCCCCAAATGTCAATAGTACTGAGGTTGAGGAGCTCTGTATTAGATCCAATCACCAATTTATAGGAAATACAGAAGATAGAGAATATGTTAAATGACACCCCGGAAAAAGAATCAACAAAATCCAGAATTAGAGAAATGCTCCCTGAAGGAAGGGATGGAGGGAGGGAGGTGCTGCCCTGTACTACCTGGGAGAGGGCCCCTGCAAGTGGTCTCGTGTGCCAGGGAGTCAGGCAGCCTGTGGGCAGAGCTGATGGGAGAGGACAGGAAGCTTGGTCATCAGCCCTGTCAAGCTTTTTGGGTGGGAGGTAATGAGTTAAGGTGGGCATGGGGAGGGAGGTGAGATCACAGAGGATGAGGGGACAGAAGCTGGGAGGTGAGAAGGGCAAAAACTTGATGGAGGGGTTAGCACAGGGAAGACAAGAAAGGAAAACACTAGGAAGCCCTTCAGACACTGAAATGAGGAAGCAGCTGAGGGGGTCAGCGTTGGAGGAGGGAGGATGGACCACAGGGTCACAGTAGGGGCGGGGGGCAGGTGGCTGTGGGTTACAGTTTGAGGAGAAGTAGCCAAAGAGTCAGTTGGGGAAGAGGTTGCTAGGGTGGGGGTATGGGGGATAGCTTTGTCTCCCCTGTTCTGCTGATTAGGTCCCTATATTAGCTTTACTTCTGCATTTGAAAGGGGCAAAGTCACAATTTTTACTGGACATATCCCAGACTCACTGTTTTATCTTGCCTCCCAAGATAAAGGACAGGAAAAGACAGATGCTTTCCTGCCCCGGGCACAAGGGCACAGAATCAGCCCATTTATGTTCAGGAAGATGTGCTAAGGTGGGTTTCAGGTGGTCCCGGGCAGGGCTGGAGCACCACAAGGAGTCAGGTGGGCAGGCAGAGTCACTCAGGACAGGGAAGAGGATCCCTGCTGTCCAGGAGGAGCATGGCTCAAAGTGGGATCAGTGAGCCTGGGCAGGCAGGGCTAACAGGGGTGCCTGGGCCTGAGGAATTCACTCTGGAGGCCCCCGGGTCTGGGACAGGATTCTCTGCTCAAGCTCGGCATATTGCGGGAGAAGGGCCTCGTAGACCTGGAGGGGCAGAAAGAGCAGTTTAGAATGGGGAGGGAGAGGTGCCTCTCATCTCGTAGCAACTTGCAATTTTTAAAATTTAGCATCCCATTTACTTGCAATTTAAGTGTTTGTGCTGGGCAAAGGAAAGGAAGCATCAAGTCTCAAAAGAGGAAAAGCTAGTAGTTCTCAAACCTATACTTTAAGATTTTCAAAAAATGCAAATTAGGACTAAAAAATTTGTTATCAAATCTACAAAATTTTAAAAAATGCTGGTGAAGGTACCTGGAAATGCTGGCTTATTGCACAGCTGGTGAAGCTGGTGGTACAACCCTTCTGGAAATCAACTTGACTGTACGTTGGTATTAAAGGGCCTGAAAAGGCCCCTAGCCTTTGACCCATTTATTCTACTTCTGCAAAGCTCTCCTAAGGAAACCATCCTAAATGTAGGGTGCCACACCTGACTAACCGTCCAGTCTCCTAAGACTACCCTGTGCCACACCCTGGCCCTCAACAGGATACACTGGAGAAACATACCAGTTGGTACAGTGGCTGCAGGTGCTTCTCTTCAGTGAAAGACCACGCAGCGGTCCTTATAGCGGTTGGCACAAGTGTCCAGGAAAGGGTCTCCCTGCCCCCCATGTTACGGCTCAGGTGCAAGGAGGTGAAACCCACATCATACAGATGTAAGAACCACCCTCGCTTTGAAACCTCATGCTGCACAGGAGTATCTCTTGTAACAACTCCATAGGCAAGACACATGCCCATGAGACGTCACTGGACTCAGGGAAGCCCTAAGTATGACTTCCCCTCAGATATATACGGTTTTCCCACTCCAGATGCAGTGCCCTAATTAAAGGCCATTTTTACATAAGCAATGCTGTGTACCAATACTGTGACATTCCAAAGGAAACAGAGCTAGAAATTCAACTGAAGTTCAAATTCTCATGCAGAATAGGAAAAGGTTTTGTTAACCTTTTACCCACATAATTTCAACTGCAGTAATTAAAAGACCTCGTGTTACGAAGGATTCTGAGGTTGCACTTGGGTTGACGGGTACAGAGTTCCAGGAGCCCTTAGTGACTTTGGTCATGGGCGAGCCAGGGAAGGTGGGGACACACACAGAGTGTTTGCTGCCTATAAGGAGACAGGTGCAGCTGCCCTAAAGCTTTTCCCAGCTACCTTCTCCCTCGTGGGCCTCCTTCTAGAGAACAAAGGAGCTAGAACCTACCCTAGCCTTTCTTACAACCAAGGGTGACCATATGACCAAGTGGCCGTCTGGTGGGGGAGTTGAGAGAAATAGACCAGGATTCTGTCCCTGATGAGCAAGAAGTGCATGAAGAGGGGCTGCCCAACGCCACGCTCTCACTCCTGCCTATGGATACAGTGGTGGGGGAGCGGGATGTTGGGAGAAGCGGAAGACATCCTGTGATCATCGAGAGCACATCTAAAGCGCTGCCACCCAATACCATAGCCATAAGTCATATAAGCCTGGGAGTACTTGAACTGGGACTAGTGCTACAAGTCTAAAATACACCTCGGATTTCAAAAGCTTCATACAAAAAAGAGCAATGTAAAATAGCACATTGGCAATTTTTCTTACTGATTACCTGTTGAAATGGCAATATTTCAGACATACTGGATTAGATAAAAAATATCTTTAGTCATTTATTTATTTTTACTTTTTTTTTTTTTTAATGAGACTACTAGAAAATTGGAAATGACATAGGTGGTTCTCATGGTGCCATTGTCTGTTGCTGATCTGTAGAATTGCAGAGACTATGACCCAGAGCCCTGACATTGTGGAACCACGGAACCAGCCCCACAACTACCTTCAGACTTCTTATTACATAATAAAGCCATTCTAATTAGGGAGTCTTTCCAAACTTCACAATGAGTGGGTTAGAAGTAGGCAGGACCAGATGTTGTCCCACTTCATAGATGCAGAAACAGGCTCGGAGATGAGAAATGCTGTTCAAGGTCACATGAAGGTCATATGCTGAAGGAAAGGCTGAATAAGAATGAAAACCCAAAGGCCCTTTCTATCAGTTTAGGGTCTTTCTACTGCATTGAGTTGGCTCTTAAAGGTAAGGACACACGACATAAGGAGAAAGTAATAAAACCTTGGGCACACCTATGCGTGTGGGTTACGTAGTCACCTGGAAACTGGGAGCTTCTGCTCCCAGATATGTTGGGAGACAATTCTCCATGGTGTTTCTACGTGACTGGTGACAGCTTTTGTTGCAGACTATCTTTTCAATGTTTATACAGCAAGTAGCATTGGAAGACAGAGATAGAGTCGTCCTCTGGGGCAGAGGGAAAATTTATCTGCTGATCAGGCTAGTACAGATAATGTCTCCCTCGAGGGCAAAGGTTGGGAAGATCTGCTTGCAGCTCCTTTATAAGTTGGGAGTTTCCTAAGCTTGGGGTCACTCAGTTTTGATGCAGACATAGCGTGTGCACAGTATCCTCCTGGGCCCACTCCACATCGTCCAATGGCACTTCAGGGCCAAGGAAATCTGGTGCAAGCATGACGTTCACACTGATTGCTACATCAGTAATAATGCCCTCTGTCTGCGCAGCCCTGCTGCTGGGCTGCAAGAACCTTCTGGGAACAGGAACAGAGGTACGGTGGATGCTGTGGCATACCACCCAGACTGCCCTTCAAGAATGAAGACCTTATTCTCCCAGCCCTCAGCTGACGGCCCCCTTTGGGGATGGCTTTGGCTAGAGAGTGCTGCCTTACCCTATCCTGGGGTGGCCTGCATACACAGACTGGCTGACATAAGGTATAACAGCCCGGCCCCCTCACCCCAGCTAGGTTAAAGTCCAAAGAGTCAGCCCAGCTTCATAACTTCCTCTAGGACTGGCTGAGGGCTCCAGGGAGATTGCCCTGTGGCTCACCTCCTCCCTCTGCCCCATCCTGCCTCCTCGTTTCCCCCTCCACAGATATAGATCCCACGAGCACCCCCAATAAATGTCCCTATACCCTAATCAGCATCTCAAGGTCTGCTTTCCAGAGAACCCAAGCTGTAACAAGCGGGGTCTGCCTTCCCAGGGATTTCCTGGCCTGGGGAACCGCACACCTGTCTTGGATCCAGACTTCAGATCTGAGGGCTAGAAACGCAGCACTTCTTACGCTTAAGTGACAGAGTCTTTCTGTGGCTTCTGTAACCCGTGAAATGTCAGGGCCCGTCCTGAGGCATATGCAACACTGAAGATACACCCAGCAATCGATCTGACCCCTGGGGCTATAAAATCAGCAGTATCTATAAATCTCAGTTGACAACCTGGCTCCCTTTTGCTCTGTTTCCCTGACAATTAAAAACCAAAAAGTAGGATTTCCCCATTAGCTGAACACATCAACTTTAAGTGACAGAGCAAAACTTACCTTTTGGAAAAAAAGAACCTACAGTTGACCTTGAACATCATGGGTTTGAACTGTGCAGGTCCAAGTACAGGTGGATTTTTTTTGATAGAGTAGATGGTAAATGCATTTTGCTTATTATTTTCTTTTCTCTAGTTTATTTCATTTTAATAATACAGTATATAACACATACAATATATAAAATATGTAGTAATTGACTATTTATGTTATCAGTAAGGCTTCTGGTCAACAGTGGGCTATTAGTAGTTTTGGGGGGAGTCAAAAGTTATATGTACATTTTCGTGTCTGCAAGGGGATTGGCACCCGTCACCCATGTTGTTCAAGAGTTAACGGTGGTTGGTTTTCACAATGCAAAGGCTATGACCAAATTCTGATGGTCTCTCACCTGAGCAGCTCCTGGGGTTGGGGTAGCAGCTAATCTGGGATTTGGGGCTAACTTCACAACCTCTGAAAAGGGCACGTCTGTTCCAGCTGCAAGGCCCAGAAGGGAAAGCTCATTTCACATCAGTGCATGTTGCAAATGAAGACATTAACTGAAAATAGCATCTTATCTCTGGGGTGATAAAATATTCTAAAACAGGATTATGGTGATGGTTGCACAACTCAGTAAGTTTACTAAAAAATCACTGAATTGTACACTTAAAATTGGGTGACTTTTATGCCATATAAATTGTGCCTCAGTAAAACTGTTCGAGAAAAAGAGAGAGACAGAAGAGAGAAATTTGATGTGCAGACCTCTCCCCAGCAGGGCTAGTTTGTCTTGCTCAGTGGGACAGCACCTGTCAGAGCGGGGCGGCGGGCCCCTGGCATCTGACAGGAGGACTTACCTGCCTCTCCTCCCTCACCTGGCCCCACTCCCCAGGGCTCAGTGCACCGAAGCCACTCCAGGCTTCTTAGGATTCCTTCTACCTCAGCCTTTTCACTGTGTCCAGTGTCCCGGTCTCCTCTCTTCACGGACCTACACTCTTCTCAGACCAGCTGCCGCTCACAATGTCCCTTGTTCCGAGGCTCCCTAACCCTCCACCCCCAAGTACCATCTGCTGTCCTCAGAAACTTCGTACAATTTCTGGCCCCAGATTTAAGGTCCCTCCCTTGCTGAGCCCCCAGAGCTCTGTGAAGCCAGGGACTGGGTCTCCAGAAGAGCCCTGGGGCCTCGCACACCGCCTGCATACCCGAGGCCCTCAGTAAATACTCCCCAAGCAAATGAGCGTGGGGCTGGAGAGGAAGGGAGGCTGCTGTCGGGCGGGGGCGGGGGGGGGGGGGCAGGAAAAGTGAGGAATTTCTAGGCGGGTTAAGGAGTACTATCAGATAGGCAGGGAAACACAGGACCACTGCGAGTGAGGCAGGGCCCGGGCAAGACACGAGGTTTCCAAGCAGATGTTGGGATATCTCGGCTCAGAGCTGCATGGGAACGGGGTGGGGGGTGGGGGGGGCCAGCAGAGAGACCAATCAAAAGACACTGGTCCCTTGGCCACTCATTCAGAGACCGCCTATGTGTGAGGTTCAGCCTGGATGCAGCTGGGGAGAATAGATGTGAAGTGGCTGAGACACCTCAGGGTGGGGACCGGTGTGCTCGGACTTAGCTTGGGCTTCGGTTTTGGAGGGCACAGTGGGCAGTACCCCAGATAACCTCTGGCAACGCAACAGGCACAGAAAAGGAAAAATAAAAAAGAAATGCAGTGCCACATAGCAGCGGAGTCCCGGAAGGGCAGTGCCTTTCCCGCTTTAGCAGAAGGAGGAGTGGGAAGTGGGCTCTGGGCTTCTCATGGGCAACACTAAGGGCCAGAAGATTATGGAACAGTATTTTCAAGGTGCTGAGGGAAAGTATTTTGAAGTTAGAGTCCTTTGCCCAAACACGGTAACATTCCTTTTTTTCTTTTTAAGATTATTTATTTA